AAGGCTCCGCGGTTGACAGATATCTTGAGACCGTATTGGAGCCGGTTGTCTGCGGCTGCGTTTGCGTCTATAGCTTTGGAGCTTTGTTGCAATTGTAGCGATTCATCGAGAAGTCTAAACGCTGTCCAATCAGGGAGTAGGCAGCGTTCTATTTTGCGTTTCAATCGAATCAGCCATGTGAAGCTGGATCGCGCGATTTCGATGCGAATCGCTTGAGGTATGAACGCCACATTAGGCGTATAGAAGCTGTGACTTTTCTGTGACATTATCCTTGGGCTGCCCTGGTCGCCTGCGCTCTAATCCCAAGCCTTAGTTAGGGGAAGGAACATACAGGCGCGACCGAGGGGTCCTTCCCGGCTACGTTAGCGCCAACTAGACAGCCTTTCTAAGTTGAGAAACTGCAAAATTATCTTTTATCAGTTTTTGATTGATTCATTTTCTAGGCACTTAACCAAGCGAGTCTAATAATCAGCGAAGTGCGGGAGACTCAGCTATGGTAGCGCAGGACTGTGAATCCATGACGTAGCAAATAGTGTTGTATTGTAGAATTACGTCGTAAAGACGTGGTGAGAAATTCCGTTATGGTTTGCTGTAATTCCACATATTACGCTGTGAAAGGTTAACTAAGTTTATATGAATGAGTTCTTCATTTAGTGTTTATAATACTGTATGATTGATATTGATGCCATGTACCGCTGTCGAGATTTCTAATTTGTTTGTTCATTTACGGATTGACCTTGTACGCACCTCTCTGATTCCTGCTCAGATTTGCTTTTTTAGGACCCATAATTATTGTTGAAATCATTGGTGCATGAATTCACGAATAAGTTAGTTTTCTGGCGAATTACTAGTCAAATTTCTCTCTATCTAAATGTGCCACAAAATAATCTTTTAGCTGCAATCATGTAAGATTAGTGATACGAGTAAGTGTTATTTACGGTGACGTCTCACAATACTTCTCCAGGTGTGACCGTCATCACTGCATTTTCCTGTTTGCTTTATTACTGAGGTCCATAGAATAGGTCTAGGCTCACGCCGGTATTTGTGTTTGCTTGACACAATCAGTAAACAGTTCATCAGCTTCTTGTGAAAAGCTTTCGTACTTGTACATGCTTGTGATTGCATATTATACTTTCTACTCAAACTGATGACGAAAAGCGTCATGCTGTTGCGGAGAAAGCGTTCATACTTTGCGTCAGCGTCTTGAGCGTTATCGTCATCGTCTTGAGCGACTCAGAACGTATAGTTGTTTGACCATCGCTCAAAACGCTGAGGCTGCATTCATACTCTGCGTCAGCGTAAACTAGCTTTCGAGCGTACGCCAGCGTTTTCGCGGACAGTTTGAACTCGAGCCGAACTGCCCGCGAAGACGCGCCGTATTCTGGACAGATACCTATACTTTCCTGGTCTCTTTCGTACGCTCGAAGCGAAGCTGTACGCTGACGCAAAGTATGAACGCACTAGGAGCTAGGAGCTGAGATTTTGTTTCGGAATCGTACATCCTATCGGTCATATCGGAGGGCGGGAGGGGCGTCCCTGCAACGACTCCGCCTTCCCGTCTCAACAATCTTGTACCTGTCTTTCGTCTCGACCCTGACACCCATTGTTATGTCTTCAGATGTGGAGTGTACCATAAGGCCGCATTCATACTCAGCGACCTTAATGAGGGCGACTGCCACCGCCTGCGCTCCATCGCTAATCAGTGAACCGCTGCAGCTGCTGTTGAAGAAATCACATCGATTGAGTGTTTTGACCAGGGCGCATCATCGCTGGGATTTCCCATCAGGGAGGGGATCCTACTTGGTCTAATGAAAAAATTTTTTGATAATTGATTTTTCTTGTTCCAGGGACGCTATAAAGGGGCAGGGTCGTATTCGTCTTCTGACCGTTCGCCTTCCCGTTGTTCATTTTTCGTGGTTTTTCCTATTTCATCTATACTTTGTCTCGCTCTCGCTCGACAGCTTCGATAAGGAGGGAACTAGGAGGGTCGTATCCAGGCCGCTTTCTAGCGGGGGGGGGGAGAGGGTCGTACGGACTAAACGAAAGTCCCCAATTAATGATATGCCCTGGTTTCAACCAATGAAACTCTAGTAACTGCTATCTTGGCCTTGAAAACCGAACGTTAAAACGAATCTTCAAGTGATTTTTGCCTTTTACGTTGGTCAAGACATGCCCTTAGTGATTGCCCTTTAAAACAAATAAATGAACATATAATTAACAAAAATTTAGCCAAACGAACGCTAACGGTGTGTTGAGGTAAGATCGCTTGGTAACGCCATTATGTCGCTTCCCCTAATCAAGGATCAGGCCTAGAACACAGACGGGTGGTTAAGACAGCTAAAACTTCTGCTAAAGGTTCTGCGGCAAATGCGAGAGCGCAGAGAAATAAACGACTGCGGCTGCCGAGGCATCGAAAGGTACGAAAAATACGTCCCGAGCCAGGAGATGAGTATTTTAAGGAAGAGGACACCGGGGTGGATGAGACCTTATGGGTGAAAAGCTGGAACGTGAAAAGTCAGAGTGGTAACAAAACGCCATGCAGACGTGAGAACGCGAAGAAAAACAACAAGTTGTCGCTATTCAAAGGCAGTTGGCACGATAAATCTCAAAAGACGAATAGGATTTTAACGCTTGGCAGGGCGGATTTCCGCGACCCTGAGCAGGCCCTGCGTAGCGGTTTTTCCTAGGGAGGTACCCTTATAAGGGTCCTATCAAGCTACAACATTCCGACCCAAACGCCTACCACGCCCGCCCGCCCACAAATGGACGACCTTACCAGATGCTCGTTTTGCTTCATTTGCGGAAGGGCTGCGGCGCTAAATGGGTACACGAGTACATACATGCAGCCACACCTACCGGAGCGGCTATTTGCAATACGCCTACGGGAAACTCGTCCGCATTGCTTTTCAAGAACGATGGCTTTTCTTCGCAGTTTTCGACCGTTTCACTTCGTTTTTTCGCCGTTTTCCTACCGAATAATCGTGCCAACTGCCTTTAAGGGAGTTCTAGCCTGCCGTAGACCCGGCTAAGGTCACTGATGGTCTGTCTTCGCAGAAGACAGTCCTCACTAAGCCTAAGCCTTGGTAAGAGGAAGGGAAACGAAGGCTCTGCGGAGTGGTCTTCACTCCTCCCCCACCCCACCACAACATTGGCGCCCTATTGTGTTGATGTTTTTGCTCACTTATTTGTTCATTTATTTAATAGAAGACATCCATAGGGCACATGCCTTGGCAAACGTAAAAGTAAAAAGTGGGCTCAGATTTGGCTTGTTTCAAGGTTATCCTGGTAATCACTTCTAAAAGTTAGTGGTTAAAACAATCAATCGATGAGGTTCCCAATTAGCAGTTACAGCGTCCAATTTAGCGCTGGAATGCAGTTAGTCGTTATCGTGCGACCGAGATGCTGTAGAATTGCGCAACTCGAAAGCCGCCCGTAGCCGCGCAATTGCCGCGATGCTCGAAATATTAACGCTAGATAAGCGATCTCAGCACAGTCGCTTTGATCCGTATCTGGATGTTTTACCTGAATTTTTGATTGCTCGTAGTATTCTTTGCTCGATATAATATCTTATTATCAATGTAGAAATCCAAAAATGTGTTCCTCCTGTACATATTCGAGAACTGATGATGGATATCTTTCCGAATATTACGAAAAGTTGTTCTGAAATGTCAGAAATGTACAGTAGTCCTTTAATGGCTCAAACGATACTTATGGCCGTTCTGTTGTGTGATAGCCTTGCCAGGGTACAGCATCGTGAGTACATGTGTGAAGTGGTGGTGTAGGTACGACCCCCCCCCCCTCTGAGAGGGTGTCAGTACGACCTTCCCACCTGAATGAGGGTCTCGGTACGACCCCCTCCCTTCCCCAGCACCTACCTACCGATTTTCCACATTTTCCAGTTTTTCACCCAAAGATTTTCCGCCTTCGAGCGGGGGGAGGGTGGATAGCCAATGTGAAACGGCAAAAATCACGTGAAAAGTCAACAACCGGGAAATTTCCCCAACACAGCAAATTTCTCTTGAAAGCACATACGACCCCCCTCTCCCAACGACCAAATACGACCCCCTCCCCAGCGGAAAAGTACGACCCCCTATGTGTTCACACAACGATGCTGTACCCTGAGCCTTGCTGGTGATTAGTGGTCTTGGTGATGGGATGCGCAGAATGCCATACGAAAATCGTGTGTCTCCTAATCCCAAGGTTAGGTCACTGTTAAGCTGGCAAGGTTGAAAACCTGCGCTTTTGATTATTCCCTTTCTGGGACGCGACGGCGTATTCTACTTCCACTCAGAATTCTAGCGGCTTTCTGGACGTGATATGACCCGCACAATGACCTGCGCGGGCCATCCGATGCTACTATGCTACCATCGGACATGAAGAGTACCATGAAGGGATTACCATCCGGACTGCTGATCGCGCCACCTACGCCGCCTATTCTGCTTCTATGCACAGGTGAGGGAATGTGGTAGCCGTTAAGCCAAAAATTCGCATGCCA